TCTGAAACGTTGGTTAACATCGACCAGACTACACAGCGCAATAACCCAGAAGACAGAAATCTTCAACACCCTTCTTATCGATCCGTCTCCCAGTTGCTTATAACTTGTTAGCTAATCCGTTTATTTGAGACCTGCTTGGTTCTTTCCTGCACTCGTTTCACTCAAAATTCACGCTGAACCATGACGACACTGGCAGTATGGTGAAACATTTCATTAATAACACACTTTTCTGTTGTGAGCATCATCTTGGTCATTGCTGCTTCATAACATTGGCCATCACAGGCAGTTAATTCATCCAAGACTATCAAACTCAAAAACACTAAATACAGAGATGTTTGCCGTTGTAAATGTTCGAGCGTAGTCCTCAGAACTAAAGCAGTTTTTGCTTAAATGTACTGGAATCAGCTGACTGCCACAGAAATTCTTAAATCCTCATGATCCAATTCCCGATTTTAACTTGAATTCGACAGTTTTGGCACGAGCATAATTTGTGAAAAACGTTATTCCCACATCAAAGAGGAAGAAAGAACTTATTATTTCTGTGAAAGCTAGAAAAGTTAAGTGGTTGTGAAATAAGGTTTTTTCAAATATTAAAGTATCTTACATGTGATTTGTTTACCTTCGCAGCCTCGCAGTATGTATCCCGGTAACATGTACCAGTACCAGCCGAAAGCATCTCCACCCGCCTCAGCAGCTAGCAACTATCCGGTGCATCCAGATGTCAGATTTAAACACCTACCTTTTTTTGATTTGATGGGAGAACTGTTGAAACCATCAAGCCTTGGTAGGCAGAGTGTGTACACTATTTCTGAATTTAAAATTAAAATTAAACATTGCTGTAAGGGTCTCAGTCACTAGTAGAAACATGTTACATGAGCTCTTGCCTTTGTGGTATATTGTATTGGATGTATGGGGTCCTTACACTTCATATGTGTCAGTGTTCGCTGATACTTATATAAGAAGAGTTCATTTCTGACCATTCAGCATGGTGGAACATGCTGCGTGTGCTTTGAGAAGTATTTTATCTCTCAGAAACATGTATTTGGAGCCATTGCATGCTGTACTCCAGGCCTGCATTACATGTGACCCCCAGAAAGATTTTCTCTGGCTCGGGGGGGTTATCGGCTCTACTGCGCCCGGGCCCCTGAAAACCATCTTTCAAAAGTATCAAGTATTATAAAACCTTGCAATATTTCATAATTTTTTTGATTTTAAGTCCTAGTGTATTTCAGATGTTGATACCCTTCCAAACTATTGTAATTTCTGAAATGTTCAGTGCTGTATGCTGGAGAACTGAATGTTTAGGTTTTGGTTGCAACTTGAATTAGTAATCACTTCTTGATTTCTTTCGTGTTCACAGTCCAATCAATTGAATAACGTGTTTCGGTCAAATGTGGCCATCATCAGGTTCATTTCCCAGCTTCTTTGTCATTGCACTGGGTATTTTATTTTCTCCTCCCATCAAGAAATAATTATAAAATTACATGTTAAATCATTTTAAATTAGTAATAACTGTCCACGTCTCTCCCCCGAAGGTTAATGCTGCAATTGATGAATAAATGTATTTTCACACAGTTCCACAAGGCACGCAGAGGTTACAGGAGGGAAATTTTGTATTCCATCTCACTCCTCAGCAAGCCACAGATATCGCTAGTTCAAGAGATTTGCGACCTGGAACAAAGATGGAGTATGCTATTCAGGTACAGTGAGTGCAGTTAATACATTACATTCACGTTTTGTGTTTAGCTGTATTATTGATAACGTGTTTTACCGCTTGGAACAATAGTCACAATTCTATAAAAAAGATACATTTTTTTAAATCTTATCCGATGTATATCGAAGTCGGTAAATATGAAATTTTGAAAAAAAATGATATTAATAAAATGGTTCCAAAGTTATTTGCAGCTTGTTATGCAGTTATATATGTTTTTCATGTCAGCAACACTGACACTCTCAAATTTCACTCTGTAATGAAGGAAGGAATAATTTTTGAGGGGTAATTCATCTAAGAGCAAAAAGATATTCACTTTACAAAAGAAATTTTTAGAATAATGGGTGGTGTCAAAACCTAGAAATTCGTGTAGAAAAGGATTGCAGATGTCGCGTCTTCCATGTGAGTACGTGTTCTCATTATGAACTTCATTATGAATAACCAAGAACGCTTTCAGACAAATTCCGCTTGTCACAGTGTTAACACGTGAAGTCTTTATTTGTTCTACTTGAAAAGTTTAATATATTTTGCATTGTATTTGTATATATACATTTTATTTTGTGTGACTTAGCTCAGTCAGTATAGTGAGTAGCTACGGGCTGGACGACCGGGGTTTGATCCCTGACGGGGGCAGAGGATTTTTCCTCTGGCCTCTGCGTCCAGACCGGCTCTGGGGCCCACCCAGCCTCCTGTCCAATGGGTACTGGGGTCCTTTCCCGAGGGTAAAGCGCGGCCGGGGCGTGATGCTGACCACTCACCCCCATCTAGGGCCGAGGTCAAGAATGAGTAGGAGCTATACCTCCTCTCCCCCCAAGCAACCTACATGGTGTGTAGTGGGACTGCTTTACTTTACTTTACTTTTGACTTATTCCACATCCTGTCATCTGACTAACTTACGGATCCACGGAATATAATAAATTTGTGTGAAAATGTGATATATTCTAATTAAGAATGATGCTGTTGAAATTTATTTAAGTTTCAATTTGTATTTTGCCCATTCATTGTGATTGCTACTTAATGAAGGGCTTTACTGTTAATTCATCATTGAAAACGTATAAAAGCAGTGGGTGCAATGCGGTAATGAAGATAACACAAATTATTCAGAGGTTTTGCTAAAACGAATTTGACTGTAGTCTATTTCTTCTTTATTTTTCTCTTTCACATATTTGTTGTTGGTTGTTGGTTCTCATCTCCCATTGGCCATCTTTTTTTGGCTGTAGTTTCCGCAGCTGAGTAACTAATCATTTACCATCATTCAATGACTTTTACGAGAAAATTTTGAAATTCTTGTGTACGCAGACACATGTGTTGATGGGTGGCCATTCTTAAAAGGCACTTCCAGAATACATAAATAATTTTTGTGATATGAACAAGGTCCCTATGATATGTGCTCGACATTTGGACTTGTAATATTTAGTATTTTTCATCTATACAGGTGCAGATGAGATTCTGCCTGCTCGAAACATCTTGCGAGCAAGATGATTTCTTCCCTCCCGGCATCTGCGTTAAAGTGAACGGCAAGATGTGCCCTTTGCCTGTGAGTAATGTGTTTGGAACATTTCTAAAACAGACCTGAGTTTAAGTTGCCCACTTGGCAAAATTTACCCTTTTTATTTGTTCAAGTTTCCATTCCTTTCCTTTGTTGATACGTGCCAGACAACTCTAGTCCAACAAAGTTTCCATTCCTTTCCTTTGTTGATATGTGCCAGACAACTCTAGTCCAATGCAGAAGTGTTAAAACATCTGTAAATAAGTTATGTTGTTAGCGTTGTTTTTTTGAAGAAACGAGTCCCGAATTTTTACCGTTGTTTACGTGTATAATTTGAGTGCATGTGGGCATTAGCAAAGCGTTATTGATTAATTTGAGTGTTTTATTGCGCAGTTTGATATATTACTGTATTCTCTTCTCCAGAACCCCATTCCAACAAATAAGCCTGGTGTTGAACCGAAACGGCCACCACGCCCAGTAAACATTACGACCATGGTAAAGCTGAGTCCTACAGTGGCTAACCACATTACTGTGTCATGGAACACAGAGTATGGACGTGGTTATGCTATTGCAGTGTACCTAGTTCGAAAGTTGACATCTTCAGAATTGTTGCAGAGATTGAAGACGAGAGGTGTGAGGCATTCTGACTTCACGAGAGGTCTCAGTAAGTATAAAGGATGTAGTAAAATTATACTTGAGCTGCGGGTCGGCCGATTCTCTTTCTCTCTTCCGGAGACCAATATATTGAATTATAAATGGTAACGTTGAGTAGACTTTCACATAACACTTGGAATGTGTTGTTTGTTTCACCAAGTATTACCAGTTGTAGGAAATAAGAGGTATGAACAGCCTCTAATAGCATTTCAAATTTCATGAAAATCCAATCAGCTGTTCTTGAGTTGTTATATATTATATATATATAATATTTAGAAAAATTTAAGTGGTATAAAGTTACCCAACTTTCTATATTTGTTACAAGATTTGCTTTCAGAATAGCCTTTCCTTGTTAACCTTTGATGTTCAACCTTACACATAATACATCAAGGCAGATTTGGATCAATCACGCCACAATAAAGGGTTAAAAGTGGATTTACTATCACAGTTATGTATGTATTTCAGTCAAGGAGAAGCTGGCAGAGGACGCAGATTGCGAGATAGCCACTACCTCGTTACGCGTGTCCCTGGTATGTCCGCTCGGTAAGATGCGGATGAGTACGCCGTGCCGCGCCTCCACGTGCTATCATTTGCAATGTTTTGATGCATCTTTATACTTGCAAATGAATGAGAGGAAGCCAACGTGGATGTGTCCAGTTTGTGACAAGCCAGCATTGTATGATAACCTCGTCATAGACGGGTAAGTGGTATTATTCATCCTGTCACTTGGCACTGTATAATGTGAGCTGTTGAAAGTGTTGCTAAATAAGCCATAAATGAAAAAGTAAACATAACCTAATGTGCAGTCGTCCACACAGTTCTGTCTGTCTTTGCATGTCTGCGACACTTCTAATTTCTCAACACGATTTGTCTTGAGGTGCTGCGTGCAGTTCTGTTGAGTTGCCTTGCACCCACCTGTCATTCTTCTCTCGTCCGCTCAGTGTCACGACTCCGGAGCCTGAGGCAATTCTTCCTTTTTAAAAATAGAATTTATGAGTTTATAGATCTGATCGGCTGATAAAACATTAATAAAAATTATTACTGTGTAAGTGACTGATAAGTATGGGCATATTTGAAGGGTAGAATGGGGAGGGATGTAAGCAGGTATGTGTTGTGCAGTGTTATCTTGGTTTAGAGACCATTGATTCAAAGTACAGACAGCCTGGATAGTGCGTTGTGTGCTCTGTTAGTGAATACTGCAGTATGGTGTGTTGCATATATTAACTGTTTAGCATTACCGGGTGTGATCAGACGGTATATTATGGCAGCCCAAAAGACGAACTATATTTCTTATTGGTGGTAGATATACAGGGTGAGTCAGAAGTATGTTTACAAACTTCGTGTGCGTGTTCCAAAATAAAAAATAAGAAAAAATGTTCCTATGAACATGTAGTCGCAAATGTTTCATTTCCCAAATAATAGCCAAAAATAATTTTCAATGTATGCCTTTATTGCCAAGTATAAGGACAGGGATGTTTCTTTATAACAGATGCTCAAAGGTTTCTCCTCCATTCTCCACACATGCACGAGCACGACGTACACAAGACTGACGAATTCGTTCGTACACACCAGAGTTTCCTCGAATCATCTGGCATGCATTCTGCACACGTTCCCATTGGTCGTCTTCATTGTTTATGGGTGTTGCATAAACGACGGACTTCAAGTCACCCCACAGATAAAAGTCCAGTGACCTCGGTGGCCATTCTACTGGGCCACCACGCCCAATCCATCGCCCCCCCCCCCCCCCCCTTTTGCTCATGTCGTAGAACAACATTAATTCCTTCATTGGCAGATCTGAATCTGATATTGAGAACTATGGTCTAATAGCATATATGCTAAGCTCAACATGACGTGACCAACCTGTGCCTCAGTGTGCTTGTCTCCCCATGCATTGCTCTGCTTTCCTGCTTTTGCATCTCCGCGTGTGCCTTGGTGAACAAAATGGGGTATTGGGCAGCGGTCATTGCCAGATTTAGCCGAATCTTTGTTGATGAACATCCTCTGCCGGTTGAGTGAAACTGGACAAGAGTGAAGAGAATTCACAATCTTCAGTCTTGCATTCAAGTGGCCTTGTTCCACGTATCATCAGCGGTGCACACGTTAAAAGAACGTGGCAGTGCTTTCGTGTTGGTATGGTTTTTCAGTTACCTATCATCGTATTGCATCGACAGTACTTTTTGTGGTTCATGCGAATGACTCATCTCCAATGGTGTATCTTGTGTGTGTCATGTGAAATTAGAAGGTGCTTCTAATATTCTGTGTACACGGTGTCAGTGACACCATAAATGAAGCTGAAATAAAATGTGTCTGAATATCTGGAAAATTTTACTGTTAGTATCGTCCTGTTTTTTAATTTTCTTGTATCTGTCAGATATTTTCAGCAAGTGCTCCTGTCTGGCAAACTTTCAACAGATGGCAATGAAATTCAGCTGCATCAAGATGGTTCCTGGTCTTCGTTAATCGTGAAGAAAGAACAGACCCGCGTGTTGTCTCCAGTGGTGAGTGTTTTTTGTCATCGTCATGGCATTTTATAATAGTTTTCCTGAACTTCTCTTCTCTCTGGGCTAAATAGTTTTGATAACTTTGTAAAAATTGACATCTGATTAAATTGGCAATTCTTCTGAAATGTATATTTCATTTCTGATACCAGTAACCTCTTTTTGTGTTGTGGTAATAGAAGTTCCATAACTGGTAGGGCGGCTGCAGGTATGGTTTTATCTCGTTATGTAGCTTAAGGGGCACATTATTCCAGGGAACAAAAATATGCGCTTGTCTTTATGTAGTAATTGCTTCATCGATATATATGTAATAATAGAGAATTTACATTCAAGCGAATTGTCTCCTATTTCAGCCACAAGAGAAACCTGTAGTGAAAATTGAGACACTTTCTGATGAACTAGGTAAGTACTTGTTAGCTCGAGATATTTTGTCCTGAACCTAACTCGTATGCTCTGAATGTGTCTGTGTCTTCGTGTGTAGTGCCCGTAACAGGCCATAAGGCCTGTACTGCAAAGGAAGGAGATTCCAGAAGTTTGGGTGTCTTGAAAGAGGTAGAATTATCACAGAAAACACTTTTGCTGATAGACAATGCGTCTTCTCATCCAGGAATGAACTTACTGACTTCTGACAGTGGACCAAGCAGTGATTGCATCCATGAAATGATTCTACCAGGCTGACCTCAGAACTCTTGTCAATAAAGATGACAGCATAGTAGTATGGATAAAAATTGACAACGTTGAATGCTATGTATGGGCTGTCTTAGGCGTCGTAATGCTGGTGTAGATAGATAGATAGTTCCTGTAACTCCTAAGTGGAGCTTAGGGCCTCCTTTCGGAGGTTTCATAGTCTTTAAAGCGTGCATTTAAGAGTAGTGAGTGACTAGCCCACTGACTGCACAATTTCTACTCACTCCTGGTTTGACTGCCAGAGCCGCAGTGAAGCAGTGAATCAGGAGAGACTTGGGTGAGAAATGGCCGCTGAAATGTTGCTTACGAAACATCTCGTATCATGCTCGCAAGGTTTTTTTACACGCCGTAAATCTACGACATGGGGCCGCCGGCTTTACTTCCCTTCCGAAGGAAGTTGCGCTATGGATTTTTATCACCCTTAAAAATCATCGACCTTGGCCGAGATTGAACCCGCGAACCTTGGGTCCAGTGGCGAACACGCTAACTACTAGTCCACCGAGGGCGACAATGCTGGTGTAGTTATGGAGGAAACTTCTTCTAGATCTAGAAGATTTGCAAGATTTTCTTGATGAAAGACACCATTGAAGAGTGAAACCTGTGAACTGGGCTTCCAACACATGACAGGTGTTCACACTGCTAATGCTGCCCTGAAGCAAAAGGGAGGGGAAGAGGGTGTAGAGAATGAGAGTGAGGAATAAGGACAAAGAATGAGGTGAAGCTTTCGCGGCGACTGAAGTTGATGAAAGATTCTCCGGCTACAAGCCGCGCCAGGTGGCTGAACGGTGAACAAACCATATCTTCTGCCGTTTCAAGAACAACAGTCCATTCCTTTGTTGCGCGCGCAACCTAAAATAATACTTTTCACTTTCCTACAGTCAGTAATACCAACATGATGAATGAACGAACTTGTGAGCGAATATACCATCAGATTACAGTTCTTTGTTTCCTTTATTGAAAAGAAGATGAGTAGGTAAGAGTCACTGAATAAATCTTACGTTGATGAAGTTCTGTGGGCAACAGTAATGGTAATACATTAATAGTATAAATATGATTTTTTTTAAGGTTTTATCTACACCATCGTTCAATTCAGGCATTTCTTAGCGACGTACGCACCCACCATTTCACGAGATTCCAATTTCCTGACTGTGGTTATGTCCATTTCTTCATGTGTGTGATGTTCTTTGTTTTTGCATTGCAGAAGTTATCCAACCTCCACGAAAGGAGGAACCAAAAAAGAAAGCGACTGTAATTGATTTAACGTTAAGTGATTCTGAAGATGAAGCCGAAGCACCAGTGAAAACAAATGCAACAAACAAGCCTGATTCTTCCAATCAGGCTGTGAACAGTTCCTCGGGCAGTGGGATACATTCAGGTCAGTGAGACAACTGAGTGGGTATGAAACATGGTGAATTCACTTTCCTACATAAGAACTTGTTGAGAATTGATCAGATGAGAAGGTAGGGTGTGAGGTTTCGAGGTTGGTCTTCTGGGTTGTTGTTTGGTGATATGCTGATGTTTCATAGGAACTTCCTACCTCCATCTTCAGGGCTGAATTAAGGAAGGTTAAAAAGCGTTAGGTGTTTTAGTGTTATGTTGAGGATTAGGTCAGGAACATTGGTCAATCAGAGATTTGGTAAGGTGATGGGAGACATAAGCAAGTCTGGTCCAATTGGAGTAAGGAAAGTCCCTATGCGGGATGCGGGACATAAGGGAGGAAGGAGGCTGTGTTGACATAAAGAAGAGGAGAGAAAGAGGAAGGCAGGGTCAGTATAAGAAGGAAGCAGATGCCGCTCACTGCCCTCCAAGAAAGGAATGTCAGATTAGTGTGAACTCTGTCTAGTTCATGGAGAAGCCTTTTTCATTTTATCGCGATGTGAATAACAGGAATCTGTGAGCTGCTGAGGGAGAAGCATCTCTGGTGATCCTGTCCATGGCTCTGGATTCCTTGGTTTGATACTGGTATCATTTAACAGCATGTTATTGTCTGGGTTGATACAGTGTTATGCAACTGCTGACTTCTCTGGATGATAGAACTGTTCATGGTGATATTGCTTCTTGATCCGCTTTATTTAATCTAACCCATCCCACTCACAGGAAATGCTATGAGCTCTCAAGAGCTATGTCATCCTTACGAGTTTGGCGGAATTCCTGCCATAACATTGTTATGCCTGGATATGATTCTGCTAATGTGAGTGTAGGGCAAGAAAGCTACTGAAGAAATGTCCTCCGTGTGAGGGGCACAGATAGGAAGCTGTAGCCATCTTATCAGAAGCTTCATTCCAGTTACCAGGAGGTTATGGTGACAGCTGTCTCTTCCAAACTTCTTAATTTTTCTGCGTAAGCACCTTGGTGAAACATGAGATGACATCGAAGCTGATAAGAAAAAAGTCGACTGCAGATAACTGTCAGAGTGTCGAAGGCAGGGATTTCTCAACCTCCAGCCCAGTGATGCATTTTGTACAGCCCACATTAATTTTTGTAATATTGTTATCACTTGCCATAACAGAAAAAAAATGTTAAAAACTTTTATTTTAGATAATAAGGAATTAAAATAAAAATCACAAAATTTGTTTAACAGAATAAATTGAGAAACTATAAAATTTCACTTTTATTTTAGATAATAAGGAATTAATATAAAAATCACCAAATTTGTTTAACAAAAATAAATTCAGAAACTAGAAAATTTACCGTCAAGAATGTAGGGGATAATCTAAAGTAGTACTTAAGAAAGCACATTTTTATTGAATTGTGTAATAAAGCCATATATAAAAATTAGTATCTTTGCTTAATTATGAAAGCTGCAAAGTGTTGTACAGAAGTACACATAGTAGGCCATGGACGGATGATCACTAACCAGCACTTTTTCCATTTGCAATAATAGCTTTGTCACATTTTCCATCAGCTGTCATGAGGTTCCAGTAAATGTTAAATCATTCATAACCTGACAGCCTTGGAGTGGCCCTAGATCTTTAAAGGTTGTGATACCACATCCTGAGGTGTGGATGAAGTCCTCGTATTTCTCACGTGCTGCAATGAGTTCCTAGCAGGCATGCTAGGTACTTTATGAGACTGTGGGTGGGAACCAGTTTTCTGATTGGCTGCAGAGAGAGTCTCTTCCTTATTTGTATTGGGAGTCCATAGAGTCTAAAAATTCGTAGAACAACTTCCTTGGAGGGGAAGTAGAGCCTGCGGTCCCACATTGTAGATTTACAGCACGTAAAAGAGCCTTACAAACATCAACAAGATGTTTCATAAGCCTTATGTTAATTCAATTCTAAAGGGTTTTGACAACAGTAGTTTACATTTAAAATTATTCTTTGTCAGGACTTTTTCCATCGTCTGTTCTTTAAAATCACGACGTTTCAGAGGCTGGTTCTGTCTCCATCTTCAGGTGAGTGGTAATTGCACGATTTATATTGTCCAGTGACAGAGACCAGCTCTAAGGGACCCAACAGAGTAGGTACCTCTCACCTGAAGACGGAGACAGAACCAGCCTCTGAAACGTCGTGTTTTAAAGAACAGACGATGGAAAAAGTCCTGACAGAATAATTCTAATTTTAAACTTATGTTGATTGTTAACATGCAGGGTGATTGAAAAGTCATGCATAATACAATTCAACTGGATTAATAAACACCCAGTGTTGCTGCGACTATGTAAGAGCCCACATAGGTCATGTCATGTTGTTCCTGCAGGTACCAGTTTGTCAGTTGTCTTCAAACAGTCAAAGTGCAAGGATGTCTTTTTCAAAACTGCAACAAGTGTTCTTTGTTGAACGCTACCTGGCATCTCATCCTTACTTAACTTGCTAGAATGTGTTTGGGGATACATTTCCCGATTCTCTTGTGCCAAACAAATGAACAGTAATTTAGACAATATCTGTCAAACTTTGTTATGCTGTCCGCAAAATTCACCGAGGAAACTTTCTCTTCAGAGTGGATTATCCTAACGTGCCAGGAATGGGTTGCATGACTTTTCAATCACCTTATAGTATGAGGTTTTGTTTTAGAAGAACTGATTGAAATTTATGTGCACAGATACAAGCGTGAGCAGCTCTGGCGGCAGTGCTGGGGGCAACAATTCTAATCCTGGGCTCAGTTCTGTGTCCAGCTCAGGATACATGAGCCCCAGTGTGATCACTCTCGACAGCCCCTCCCCACCTGCAACACCAACGCCACCAGCACCAGCTGTACCACCTGTACAGCCCTTGCCAGGTCGGAGCCCTGGTCTGCGAATGCCGCCTCCAATATTTCCAAATTCTATGTACCTTTCTTCTGTACCCACATTCCTGGATCTTGATTCAGATTCCAACAGCCCACAGTCGTCCAATGCAGGCCCACTGTATCCTCCTCGTTACTGAACTAATGATGTGTTCCGTTCCCTTGTTTAGAAATATGATACAAAGTTTAATTTCAAGAAACAAATGTTATGTGGATACAGTCTTTCTTTTCTTTTTATTTATCTTTTTTCTAATTTCATGTGACTATAAAAGTGGCATTTTTGTTTTTTTCCTGTGGTGTATCACCAGAACTGTATATACGTGCATAGTGAGCTTGTGCAAAGAGACGCAGTGTTTTAGAACTGTGTCCTTGTATGAAAGTTGTATAGTGGAATGAATGTGATTACTTGAGTTAACATGCATCTAAAACCTAGTTGTATTGTTCTTATTTCTAGTGTAAGTTTTTGTTATTTATTTTTTTTTATTAAGAGTCAAGACACTACCCAGAAGTAATTTCAGTGCCTTCAAATTGACTTGCATGTCTTGAATATTTAATGTCCTTAAATTTGTATTTAGTGTTCTTCTCCATCTTTAGGGTACAGTATTATTTGAAACTATTCTAAGAAATAAAAACATATTCTAAATTTCAGGGGTTAATGTTTTTGCAGCGTGCGGTTTCATTGAATGCTGATAAATATATTAAACTTCGCCTGGGTAATTGGGCATAAAGAATTTGCATTGTGAGCAGTTATCTCACTGAACATGATGGAAACATTGTTCTTAATATCGATACACAGCAGCATGTCGCACCTCAGCAGTACGAGAGACTATCAATGAGGAAGTGCTTGGTTGTGCAACATTTTATCGTAATTTGGTTTTCTACCAGACAGCAAGCAGTTACCTGGAGGAGACTGCAAACAGAAGTGTAATGTGCGTCGCATTCCGGATTCGGCAGTTCAGATACGTCCTTGATGTACTGCTGTTACCAGCTCAGTCCATAAATGGTGTGGGTAACAGCATATTCAGTGGGAATGGAACATTGATTGATATTTAAATAAAAAGTTCTTTGGATATTTTCCATCGTCTAATAAAATAATAAAATTGAACGACGTTTCGGAGATGGGGCTCTATCTCCGTCTTCACGTACCTATGGAGACTGAGATAGAGCCCCATCTCCGAAACGTCGTTCAATTTTATTATTTTATTAGACGATGGAAAATATCCAAAGAACTTCTTATTTAAATAACTCACCATCGTCACAAACTTTTAGATTTCATATTGATTGATATTTATCACATCATATTTGATGAGAACCAACCGAGAGTCAGTAGTGTTAACATCTGCATCTCACATGGTGTATCCGCCCCTCTCTGGGCCCCACAAGGATTTGCCATTGCTGTTGAGGACCATGCCCTACAAACAGGAATCTGCCCCCTCCAACTAGCTGTCGCACTGTTTATTTTTTTTTCCACCAGTTGATATGACAGCTGGAAGAACAAACTCATGGTGCAGGCCAGGGAATGGAAGGTCTCAAGAAAACTGCAATGGACAAGGCCGGTCTCAAAGCTTCTGCGCAGAATAAAAATATTTCAATTGAAAATTGTTGCATCAATTTTAATTTCACTGATAAGTGGAAAGTTCTACAACAGTTAGGAGAAATGAAAAATGTTGATTGTGCGCTACACTACCACATGAGCTTGTCTGTATCATTCACTCTCTTCCTTGCTCTTCTCTCGGTCTGACCTGCGCGACTTCTTCTTGCGGTGGCTACGATGTCCAGGACTCCTGCTGTGACTTTTGTGGCGACGTGAACGCCTTTCTGTGCTACGGCTTCGTGACCGGTGACGATGAGATCTGTGACAAATCATAAAGTAATGCTGGGTATTGGATGTATATAAAATGGGTTCATTAATATGAAACAACATTGTCCTTTTCATTTCTCATCTGTCAACCCTTTGAGTGTGAACGTAAATAGCAAAAATATGTGAGGAAGGCAGCAAGCGATTTTACTGGAAAATGCGGGGTTATGAAAATACAAATAAACCTGAACCTAATTGAAATTCAACAGACATCTTTACAGGAAGTGGCCAACATATTTTCACTTCAGATATGTACAAAAATTACTTAATGCAAGAGAAAAAACACTTTTTAACTGAATATGTTTATTGGGCACTAAATATTAAGGTGGAGCTTGTTTCATGCCTGGTATACTGTCGCTGTGGCTGTGGATCGTCCAGTACATCAATCGTGTTTTCCCTTCCAATCGGAATCACTCGCATTATCATTAATTATGTGGGATAAGTGAACTTGTAATATCCAAAAAAACAGAGTGGGTCATCATTTGGCTTTTGATGAAATGTGCCGAACTAAGAATTGTCTCTCTTAGAGACTGTTAATTGCAGGGAGGCGCTGGCACTTGAAGCATTAGGACTAAAAACTTCAATGTGTCGAGGCCCTCTCACATGTAGCCAATATATAATAAAAACCCCACCTGTCACGGTGCCGTTCGGACTTCTCGGAGCGCTCGCCCCGATCCTTTGCCCTTTCCCTGGATTCTTTTTCAGATGTTGCCGTTTGATCATCCTTCAAGCCTGGTTCTTCTTTGATTGGTATCCCTGACCCAACATTTGAACCGGTGGCTCCTGAAGCAGCAATATCATCAGAGTGTTCTCGACCTGAACCTCGAGAACTGAATTCATCTTGAGAATCTTGGTTTGCAGTTTCTGCATCATTACTCTTTGTTGGTGGGGGGATGACTGGTGGTAGGGGTGTCACCAGGGGGCCTGGGGTGATGACTTTCACGTCTGCTGATGTTACTAGCATGGCTGTTGACTGCCAGGTCTGAAATAAGTTTTCTGTTATAATTGCACGTATGTTCTCTGGGTGCTTTTCTTAATTGTGAAATCCCGACTTGCAATTTTAAATCGAATAACCCCTCACAGTTATAATAATAATAATAATAACACAGAGTAATTAAGCTTTTAAGAATACAGTGTTAATTACAGTACACAGTAACTTGAAGGTGCACAGTCTTGCTAGAAAATGTCACAGTATGAAAGAATTATTAAATTCTACAGGCCCTTGCCCTAGGTATGTACGTGTATGCCTTCCAAGCCTTCAACAATGCATACTCATACTAAACACAGGGAACCACCCTCTTGAAAACACTACACACAGCAAAAAGTCACAATTTTTTTTGGCAAAGGTAACATATCAAATCTATGGTAAAAGGCAAAGTTCTTCTGGGGCTTAACTAAGCACCACACCAGACTTATGGGGGAGCAATGGTGTAGGTCTACACATTCCTAACTTTGACCCTAGTGGAGGTGAATGATGAGCTTTATTTTCAAGGAAGGAACCCTGGCACCCACCGGACAAGATAGGTCTACACATTCCTAACTTTGACCCTGGCACCCACCGGACAAGAGGCTCGGTGGACCCCACAGCTTATCTCGACATGATAAAGAGAAAAATCCCGCCCTGCAAGGAGTCTAAGCTGCAGCCCAGTCACTAGACTCACTGAATATTTGCAAAACCAAGTCTGGTGGGGAGGTCTTGACACAGTAGTTCGAAACATAAATCTCAATTGGGAGGACTTGTGGAGTACTCACAGGGTCATTCCACTGAGAGTCCTGCGTAGGTTCGTATGAATGATAGTAAGGGTCTGTCTCAGACGCGTAGAACTCGGATCCATACGAGTCCATATGAGGAGGGAAGGTAGGCGGAACGACACCATGTGGAGGGGGTGGCAAGTCAAACGGAGGAATCCCTGAAGTTGGAGGGGGCACAGACATATCAGGGAACGCAGGCTTGCGGCTGTACTCGCGACGATCGGCGGTCATCACCTGGAAACATCGGCAAAAAGGGGTCATGATAAAACTATTCTATCATCATCTATAGCCTTAAATGCCAGACTGGAAATAACCATTTACATCATTGTGTCAGAAAGTAACTTCATGTCACCTGAATAATATTCTCTTTGGGTGGAGTTCCCTTCTCCAAATTCCGCCTTGAAGCCAACCCTCCACCACCTATGACATCAATGGTGCCTCCCATTTTTCGTCCTGGAGGAGGTCCTGCCTTCTTAGGCCCCATGAAACCAGAGTACTTGGAGTTGTCGTTAGTAATCGCTACTGGGATAGTGCCTCGTCCAGCAGTCTGACCTCCAATCTGAGCAAGCCCCACACCAGATTCATGGATACGAATTCGTTTTTGTCTCTCACAATAGGCTCGCCATGTCTCTTCATTGAAGCCATAATTGAAGTAATCTATTGAAGTTTTAGGAATTACATATACCAGATTTTACCTCATTACTAATACAATATGAAGAAAATATATTTAATCACACCATAAATGAATACAGAAAAATGGTTAGGATTCAACCTGTTATGTCAGCTCCAGGTTTCCTCCATGGTTTGTCTTCAAGAGAATCCAAATTGAATTCATGTGCTGGAACCCCATTGATTGTTCCAACAGCTTCAAATTCTTCAATAGAAAATTTCCCTGGTTGCTAAAAACAAAAACACAATACATTTTAATTAGCTAGTTTTCTAACCAGATGCTTCATAATATCCTTTTGTACTCGTGCATTCTGAAAGTTAACTCAGTTTTATAATGAACCAGCCTTAGATGCTCACTGGATAATGTCTCACCACAAATTATATATGTCTTTTGCAAACAGATTCTAATACTTTTTATGCACTATATTAAAACCAGTCTGTGAAGTATGTAAATACTGCTGACAGGGTGGGGACAACTTGCCTTCAATTTCTCACCACCAACAGCTGATGTTAAAAGGCCTCCACGTTTGATATTAAGGCTTGTATAAGTAGGACTTGTTTTAATATCTCCAATCACAACCTGGACGTCATCATCACTGTCTTCTTCATCTTCATCTTCATCATCATCACCATCACCATTTTCATTAGCTGGAGAGCAAAATTGGCGAATAACTTTTATTTGTATACTTTGTCTACAAAAGACTGATAGAAACTCAGTTCTTCCTTAACTTTCCCCTCCTACACCTTTAATCTCCACACACGAGTTCTTTGAAGATGAAAGCAGGTTCACAAACAGTAATTAAATTCACGGACTTTTATATTCTGTCAATATTATCTAATGTCTCTTATTCAAATTATGCCAGTTAAAAAATTAAAATTCTAAAATTTACTGTTTGAGAGACTGTCTCCACGTTCAAGCAAGAGAGTGCCTACTGTGCAGGAACATTAGGTCAAGCTAATCATCAGTGGGCAAAGATGTAGTCAATAAGGTAAACTTATTCAGAAATAGCTAACATTTCCTCAAGAGACATTTGAACTAAACTCATCTACCACAATTTTTGAACTGTCAGATGAGTTGCCTAACAATAGGATGGCTGATAGAACAATTTGACAGAAAACCAAGACCAAAATTTGATAGGTTGGTGAATCTAAAAGCCAATCAGATAAAATGACACAAATGATAAAAATTACAAAAGATGCTAAGCAAATTCTGTGATGTCAACAGTGATTCAGTTGCTCCCACAGATGAACTCTCTCCACGACACTGAGATTAGAAGTAATCAGTACATGTGGGTGTAATTTTACACATACAGATAATAGGTAGTTGGAATGGGGGTATTAAAATATGTAATTAAAAAGCTAATGAAGATATCAGACTTGTTAAGAAGTTGGAGAACAACGTGCCACAATGTTACGCCAACCTTTTTCTTTTTTTTACGACAAACATCTTGTCATGAATGTGGCTGCCTTCTGGGTTATAGCGCAGTGTAGTCAGGTAGAAGTTTACCAACATTTCAGAGGTCCTTGCTGCCTCCATCATCAGGGCAAAACTCACAGACTCAAATCCTACCTATATTCTGTGGTGATTCTGCACACTTTTAACACAGCTTTCCTAACACAGTCTCTCTCATACTTGTTTGGAAATTCAGACATTAGAAAAATACTTCTAACTTGTCCTTCCACTGGAATCACTGATTTTAATTATCAGTGCTTATAGACTGAGAAAATCAAATGTGGCATGCATGATTTGTGCAGCACAGCAAATCTGCACTGAATACCAGAAGCAGGTTGGAACTGCACATCACCTGTTTCTTCTACCCCTGCTTCCTTTCTGGCAGGGGCCTGAAGTTGTTCTTCACCTCTACTTAGCTGGTCATCCTCGTGTTCCGATGGAGGAGGGATAGTCGGCGGTTCTGGTACTGGCAGCTACACGTAAAAACAGTGTACGATAAGACACAAATAACTAACTTTGTCGACGTAAGTAATTTGCCATTCTGGATATGTTTCAACCGTAAGGCACGTTTGAATACCTGGTCACTTTCGCCTGTGTTTTCATCCTGTTGCGTAACTTCAGCCGTAGTTTCGTCTGTCGCCTCAGCTTTCTGCTCATTTTTGGTCTCAATTTCTGGAGGTTCTGGATTTGAATCTCCATATAACCATTGATCTTCGTTACCAGAATCTTCGGCCATTTTCACGATGTATGAGAAACTTAAGTTTCAATTCAAACTTCAAGAGTAATCTGTGACATTTAAATTAATTCGAAAAGCTTCTGAAAAAATAATGAACTAACATGGTTTACGAAATAGTATTTATGTCCTCCTAACTATATAAAACAATTTATAGTGAACGGAACTAAAATCACAGTCTTGGATTTAATAAATCATACAAAGGCTAATTGTCATTTCCTTGCGCGGTCCCTTTGGACACTCTGACTTACTAATCTTTCTTACACGCATTGTACCCATAGTTCAACATCCGCCTTTTAGTTTGGTCGTTGGAAAAATGGGTGAGTAAATCTTAAGGCTGCTGTTAGTGGATCGATTTCCATCTCATGTTGTAAAGTTTAACATTTTAATTTAAATGCACATCTGCATTACCACAAATTTATTTGTTATATATACGTCTTTGTTGCTTTGGGTGTGTATTATTTGCGTGTAATTCTGAAAATTGAAATGGGTAATGTATTTTGAAACACGTAGGCAGCATGTGCTTTGCAATTTATTGTTTCATTTCATCGTATCAATACAAATGTTCTAGTCAAGGATGATGACTAATATTATTCTGAATGTTTTTTGGAGATTGTTAATCCCATAGCGTTCTGAACTTGACTATTCTTATGACGAGGTCATCTCGGTTTCTAATATATTGAAGGGATTCGCCCTGCAGTTGATGGTTGTAAAAATATTTTCTGCCAGACACATTGAAGGTGGCCAAGGAGGCCGAATTTCTGAGAAAATAATTGACATGTTGTTGGTCGTAATTGTGATACCACGGATATGACTCCAGTAATCGTTACCACATTCAAGTGCACTTCTTTTAATAGTACTATGCATTGAATTTCTTCCAAAGGCATATCCCGCGACCACTGGCATAAACGGCGAGCTACAGGTGGTAAGAGGAAGCCTCTTCGCAAGAAGAGGAAATTTGAGTTAGGTCGGCCAGCAGCAAATACCAAGGTAACGAAACTTCGTATATGATTAGTTGCCAATATTTCCTGTGTTATAGGTGAAGGTAACATTGGCAAATGATGACCAAGCACTAGTGCATCCCACTGATTATTTCATGAGTGTTTTATCACCTCTAACGTCCTGAAGCCAACTGAATTAGTTGTCAGTTAATGCCTGTAATATACACATTTTTGTGTTACATAACCACAATTGTTACAGCTTGGTGCCAAACGAATCCACACAGTTAGGACAAGAGGTGGTAATAAGAAGTATCGTGCTCTGCGATTGGATCAGGGGAATTTTTCCTGGGGTTCAGAATGTAAGTGCTTTTTTTAAGTTTACCACGAGTGTCATTTTGGATCATTTGTGTGCTTGTAGATAAGTAAGTTGCAAAATATAGAGATGGGTGGCATGGCAGCAATGATGACTTTACCCTTACCTATTTTGATAATTTATTGATGAAACTTGTTCCGTAACTGATTCTGCCAGTAGGTATTATCGGAGTAACTGCAGGTTAGTTTGTTTTTCTTGCCTTGTGTATACGGTACCTGAATTTGGTTTGGTGTCTTTTGTGCAGGCTGCACCCGCAAAACCAGAATCATCGATGTCGTTTACAACGCCTCGAATAATGAGCTGGTGCGTACAAAGACACTCGTGAAGAATGCCATCGTCGTTATCGATGCCACACCATTTCGTCAGTGGTACGAGGGCCATTACGCCCAGGCACTTGGAAGGAAGAAGGGAGCTAAGTTGGTAAGCGTGTATCTTGATCACAGATGACTTTGTCCTTTATTTTTCACTTCATCGCGTGTCTTATTCCACACACATTCATTTCTGAACGTGTCTATGCGTGTGCACACGAGTACGCTGCTTATTCTCTGTTTCTTATTTTTATTCAAACAACTTTGGCAGTCTGATGATGATTCCATTATTCATGCGTGTCATCTGAACACCTGATTATAAATATGGTTCTGATGTTGCCAATATAATAATTTCATATTGCGTAAGTGTACAGCGTTTATTTTGGAGGATGTTAAGTACTGCTCTTTCTAAACAGAAAAGGCATTAAACGCCCCTTTAACTAGGCTGAAGATTTCTGTCTTCTGGGTTGTTGCGCTGTGTAGTCTGGTCGATGTTAACCAACGTTTCGGAGGTCATACTGCCTCCGTCATCAGGGCGATGAATAATGAATACTTGTTTTATCTCGGTGAAACACATTTTGGAAAAAAATCTGTTGTCATTTATCACCAAATTTAGCGTATTTTGTATTTTTGAATCCTGAATACGATTGCTCGTTTTATTATTCTGATTTTGTTTGTGAACTGTAAGACAACCGAAAATTATCTGTTTGTGGTTTGTTATGTTCTGAGACTGAAGCAGATGAAGCCGTGTTGAACAAGAAACGGTCGAAGAAAGTGGAGAAGAAGTACAAAGCCCGGGAAAAGCTTGCCAAAGTAGAAGCCGCTCTTGAGGAGCAGTTCCAGGCATCACGAGTACTCGGTGAGTAACTGATCAGTGCGTGGCGCTTCCGTGTTTTCCGTTCATCGCCTTTGCACACATTTGTGTTTCTTGCCATTTACACGCGATGATGTAAATCTCGCGCTAGATCAAGTTGTGGGTGTGAATCGTTTTGATTCTCACCTTTGATCGATGCTGCATTTGTCATAGTTACTCTGAGCGTGTTCAGCTGTACCTGTTCCATTTTGTGCGTTGCATATTGCACAATTTCTTCCCCCCCCCCTCCATACAAACTACGTATTTTTGAGCCCCTTCCTAATATTTATCTTTTTTCATTGGATTTTAAACATTAGGCCAGTGGGAGTTCATAACATAAACGCAGGCACACGTGACCCGAGCTTTCGACGTCTTTCGATGCCATGTTGTCACTTTGGGAGTTAGGGGCCATGAAATTTGGGGCGTAGCGTCAGTAAAGCAACATCAAACATTTTGAATGTGGAATATCACAGACATGTTTGTGTAGCGTAATCTCGTTTTAATGATGTTAATGGAAAGGATTGAGCTGGCAGCATAAAACGTGTTGACGCCAAAGACTCGCAAACTAAATTTTGATTGTTTTTTACATTGGCAAATTAATTTCTGTCGCACATGAGTGAATGGAGTACTGTGAACAATCTAGCCCAAAGTATGGATAAAACTAAACGTTTCTGACAAATAATTCACCACGAAGTGCGTTAGTTCTTCAACGGACCGGCAAAAAGAGATATTTGGGAAATGAAAATTTTTTTACAATGTTTTACTGTGGTACAAAATGTTAATATCTGTTTCATGCCGCATCTTGAACGTTTTCAGCTTGCATCTCCAGCCGCCCAGGTCAGTGTGGTCGAGCCGATGGCTACATATTGGAGGGAAAAGAACTTGAATTCTACATGAGGAAGATTAAAGCTAAGAAAGGAAAATAAGTTACAATGTATTTTATGTGTTAAGAGGGTCTGAGAAATAAAATCCTTTGTCAGACGACGAGGTGGACGTCTGTAAATCGTGACCTTTGTCCCTCGTGTTGTCGAGAAATCGGAGTCTGTAATATTATGAAACCAAATTTTACATTCTACAATAGAAAACTATCTGCAATGTGAACATGTTGGACAGCCCTAAATTTATATTTTTCCTGTTTTACAGTAGCCACAAATCTTTTGGGAGCACAAAATATTCGGTAGCAAGGATTCCATAAATTTGGTCTACTCTTAATTTTTTCATGGATGCCATTCGCAGATTCCGCGTTTTCGGTATATTTATTAGCTGGTTTCGTCGATTGGTCTTGTGACAGGACGTTGACACGTTCGTCTTTGTGTTTGTTTCTTTTATGGTATTTATGTTTTCACCCAGTAAATTATAATTAGCTTATAATTATCAGAAGCTGGTGTTTCTCACTGTTTACCACTACTTACGTGATGGCATAGGGTGGATTATCTCCCCCCCCACTAGCCACCATATTTAAAGCAGCAGCATGCTTGCTGTCACTGCATTCAGGGTTCAAACCCCGTCTCCTACCCCAGTTGCCGACCAGTCTCGTCAGAGGTTAGGTTAGGTGGGTTGACGAAGGAAATAATACCCAATTCTCTGTATGCACTTTTTATCTTATTAATGAAGTAGCTGAAAGTAATTAATGCACGTGTCTGTCATAAAAAAGTGTCTACACTTTGTGGTGTGCGTCTGTTTTATAGAAATCTGTTTTGTGTTTGTGCTGTACACAAAATATAGATTCTAGACAGCAAAACAGTTTATTTTGCCTTCCCCTTAATTTTCTTAGTGTCGAGAAGTTTGAAGTCGTTCGGCACCGAGTCCCTTGGGCAATCTTGTGACGGAAGTGTTCATATTTCGGGTCGTCCTTGCGGAAATTTCAGAAGTGTGAAAAACCCAGAGCGCTTGTACTCGAAGTGAAATGATCAGAATCAAATCCTGTGGTAGGCGCGGAAAAACTCGTGTTCTCCCGAAACCGGCGCCTCCTTTTACCTCGGTTTTATTTTGGCACGGGGAAACTTAGCGTTTCATCATGAATGTAGGAGATGTGGACTACGGTCTTCTTGATGATGACTGCGTACCCAGAAGATGGAGGCCGTATTTTCCTGTGAAGTGTTGGTAAGCATCTACAAGACTACACAGCACAACCTAGAACAACAACGTCTTGAATCGTTTTACGGAAAGTCATCGTGAAGCTCTTGTGCGAGTGCCAGCAATATTGTCGTATGAACCCGTGCAGTAACTGCACATGTAAAACGTGATGAATTTTCTAGTGACTGGCAGAATTTAAAAATGTCACGGTGTTTACAGTGGTCCGTTAATATTACAAGGTCATTCGTGACCATTTCTTTTAGTTTCATGAGAATTGAAGGGGGTGTTCTGGAATCTGGTCTTCAGTAGATCTTGGAATTGAGTGGGTTAACTATCTTTCCAGCCATGAGGGCAACGCGGGTGTCCGTGTCCAAGACAAAGTAGAGGAAGGGGTGTGTGATGACAAATTGCTCGGTTGTTGCTCTGGCTGCCATTTTTCCTGGAAAGGAAAATTTTTATTGTTAGAAAATTCCTTTTCTTGTAACTCGCTACATTGTGAGCATAAATTCTTGATGTAGGCAGTGTCATTTGCAGTTACATCAAGGCTTGTTCACACCAGTCGAGTCGCTCAAGTTCCGGCAGCACGAATTCAATCTTACGTTCGTATTTAGGCAAGTTCACTGCTTGCCAGTGTAAAGCGGCATCCGCAGAAGTAATGTGTGCTAATATTTATGTAGCCATCGCCTTCCTTTTGAGTTAAATATAAATTTTGTTGGGAAAAAAGATGAAAAATATATTTGTTTTTCGTAAGGAGCTGAATTAGGAAATGAAATGATCTTGCATCTAGTATGAACACAGGGGGGAAGGGATTGGCCCAGAAGATATTTTGTAAAAATCGCGAAAATAAATATCGAGCTACGCTAGTTTCGGCTGGTACGAATCATTCGTTCCTGTGCCGTTACTCTTCTGCGTAATTTTGTTCAGTGGCTTTACGCTGTTTTGAACGTCTTAATTCTCAGTATTTAAATCTCCAAAAATTACATTCAATATAAATTTATGGGTGTTTCTTCTGCAATAAGGATTACACCTTTGCACTTCAGGGTGGTGGTGGTGTTTTTTAAGCGTATAAACTGTGAGCTAGAGGATGATTTCCCTTTATTCTGAGTTATTAATCGAGAACCTGAAGTGAAACAGAGAGCCACTTGAAGATGCCTAAATGTCCAGTCTGACATCACTCTTTTGTTTCATTGGCTCACGCACTGCTGCACGGGTTATGATGCAGGAGACCCTAGTTCCTGTCGCACGTTCCCGCCATGCAAGACAATGGCCTTTCTAAATACTCGTAACTGCAATTGAGTCGAGTCATATGACCTTGAGATTTTCAATGGTAGGAACAGATTCCGCTTGTGACCTTGGACCCTGGGAGTTGCACACCTGTGAAATGCTCATCCTCGTTCCAGTGGACATCAATTTCACGGCTGTGAGCTCGGCACTGTTGCATCACGGCAAGCAACATATTTAATTATGTGGTAGTTGAGAATGCATATCCATTATTTATAGATACTTTCAGTTTAATTCTGTTCCGAGGCTTCCTCTCCAATAATTACACGCAAAACATTTTGTTATAATTGTGCAAGTAGCGGCTGTAATGAGCAGTAGCGCTGAAGACCTCATTCAGGAAATTGTATCTTGACTTACTGGTTTGGATGTCCAGGATTTTAACGTAGTTCCTTATGACGACGGCCACTGACTGTTCAATATTTCTCACGTACAGTTCTGGATCGTCGGACATTCCGGAGAGGTTGGCTCGGTGAGGATCGAACACATCCCAGATACCAAGCTGGAACAAGGTCGTTCAGAGTAAGTCATAAAGAGTTTCCAGAATTCTGTTCTGGAATAAAGAGGACAGCTGTTTTCCCTTCCTGTTTTATCACTGGCGTTCTCATTTAATATATTATTTACACGCTATGGAAGACACTTCAGATTCCTTATTCAGTCCTCCCCACATCAGGCTCGAGTATGTACCAACTTCTCTGTTCTTTGGGTTTGTGCAGTATTACAGAATTTATTGTTCTGAAGATAAAATCGTACGTTCTCATCCATAATAGCAAAGTAAATTCTAACATAGCCCATTTAATTGTTTACAGCGCTGGTTCTGTAAGCCTTCAATAATTATTCCAATATCTTGGCCCTTCAGGTTTTCTGACTAAAAATGTCGTTTGCATTTCTGATCTCTCTGATACGCACCTTTTTGCGATTTGTGCTAAAATGGGTGCATTAATGTTGAGAACGGCGAGTGTCGTGTGGGGTTTGTCAAGTTTTATACGTATAGTTCTCGTAGTTTGTTACTGAGGGGACACTGGACCACAGTACCTGCTGCAGTGTGGGGGTAAGAATGATGGAACCTTCCACCATGAAGCTGGGTATGACAGCCTGCACGTTTGTGGGTCGAAGGGCCTGGTAGATCTCGCGGAGTGGGCAGGAGGTCAGGTCGTACGTGAGCTGTCGTAGTCCCCGTCTCGCCACAGGTAGCAGAAGCAGGAGCTTGTACCGCTCATCCTGCCACACTCCGGTGGTATTAGTGACAACATAGCACATGCAGGGTCCTTTAGCTCTCCGTGGACACACGGAGGGAACTAATTATGTCCCTGTTTATTAAGGGTTTATTCTAAACAAATTAGACTAAATTTGGTCTCCAAATTTGTGACATTTCATGCTGGTCTGTTATATAGACTTATTCCCTGCAATAGAATATCCATAGATAAACTACGTTCTCTTGGGGTCTTTTTTGAGTCAGAAAGTTTAAATAAACATGGGTCTGATCTGCGATCATTTTAACATTTCATATGACTGTTACTTTTTTTCCTTGTTTAGGTTATCTGCATGTCAGTGGTGGCGTGTGACAGGTATCTTAAGGACCTGCAATTTTTTGTTAAATTTAATCCAATTCAGATAACATGCTGATATTTTTTATAAAAATTCTGGATGTGGGCAAGACTCACGTCTAATGGAAACTCAAGTGCTTGAGCATGCAGGCGCTGTATGTAAGCGTAGAGGAATGTTGCCGTGTAGCTCATGACTGGCACGAGCTCCTCAGATACCCCATTCACAAGGAAGGGCCTCCTTGGCAGCTGCGCGTGCAGCTCATACCCACGAGACGACAGACTGTCGGACATCCCGTCCTGCAACTGGAGGTCGATGTCAGGAAACGCAACCACTGCATCTGATAAACATGAAATTCCTGCTTTCACACAAATCAATCATGCATGTCTGGTTGATACGAATTATATGCACAGTAATGTCAAGAATTTTACAGTATAGAATTGCACGAAGAAAAATCTCAATAGTGAATGTCGTTTGGAGGTGAATGTATCCGTAACAAAGCAGAATAATTAATGCACATATCAACAGATCAATTTCAGAAAGTCAAGTGAGTGGATCATATCAATAAAACACCACTTTGCTTATTTTGTTGCCTCTCATATGCTCCCATTCATTTTTGAACTGTTTATCGCCAAACTCTGTACACACAATTAAAATTTGTACCCAGTAACAAAATGGGAGCAAATAGAATTCCAGAATCACATATACGTAATATCTTACCTTCTATTGACCTTCTTGATCTGTTGATGGATTCCAATGTGTAATTTTCACTTGATGGTCTCAACAGGTTATACACCACAGGAAAGGGTGTGCTCCGCCTCATCCTGCTCACAGATTGGACTTGCGCCTCATCATAAGGGACAGTGCTGTCTCCACGGTATGTTTCCCTGAAGGTCACTTGTTCTGTCTCCTTTCCTGCTGTATCGTCAAAGGCGGTGTGGTTGTTTATGTCACTTGTGGTTTCTGGCTTTGGTTCTCTCTCCTCTTCAGTCAGTGTCACTCCTCTTTCCAATTGTTCTGTCTGTGCTACTGTTTCTGTTGGTTGATCTGTCACTCCCATTGTCTCTGTTGGTTGATCTGTCACTCCCTTTGTCCCTGTTGGTTGTTCTGTTTGTGCCACTGTTTCTGTTGGTTGATCTGTCACTCCCATTGTTCCTGTTGGTTGATCTGTCACTCCCATTGTTCCTGTTGGTTGATTTGTCACTCCCAGTGTTCCTGTTGGTTGTTCTGTTTGTGCCACTGTTTCTGTTGGTTGATTTGTCACTCCCATTGTTCCTGTTGGTTGTTCTGTTTGTGCCACTGTTTCTGTTGGTTGATTTGTCACTCCCATTGTTCCTGTTGGTTGTTCTGTTGGTACCGCTGAGATTGTTGCTTGCTCTGAATGTGTCACTCTTTCTGTCGGCTGTTCGGTCAGTGCCATTGACTCGGTTGTCTGTTTTGGCGGTGCTGCTGAATTTGTTTGCTGCTCTGTTTCTTCGTGAGAAACAGTCAGTGGTGGCTCCTCAGGTTCTCCCAGCGCAGGAGCAGTGGCAGTTTGTGCTGGTGTGGTCGCTCCTTCCATGGGTGAAGCCGGATTCGTAGGGTCCGATAACGGTGTGAATGTCTGTTCATCTCCTGGAGAATCGTTTGATGGAATTGTCTTGTCATAGGGAAGTTTGTTTGAAGTGGTACTTTCTATCGGGATGTTGACTGTGACCAAAGTAGAGCCAGCTTCAGGCGTTGTTTTATCCGAGGTAATGAAACCTTCCTCTGTGGTTGTCTCCAGTTCGCCAGCTGACAAAGTCGTCACCGAATTGCTCGGTTTCGTCGTCGTCGTCATAGTTTCAGTGGCGGCCAATGTGGTTGTCGTGGGGGGGAAACTGTCACCCGAAGCCAGACCCACGTCGTACCCGTAAAATCTGAGCACTCGCCTATACTCCAGCAGGAGGGACGTGTGGTTCTTGTTCAGCGTCAGTCCGCTCAGGTAACCCTCGTGGCTGAAGTAGCTCTGTGAACAGTGGCGGCTCGTTAAACTTGGAAGTTCTTACATTTCACTGGCATAAGGAGTCAAATGAAATGGTATATCCTCGAGGATGAAGGCAGAGGTGATATGAAGATGAATGAAATTGCACCCCCATCGTACTGTTTTGTTACCCCTCGTCTCCAAAAAGACAGCCCAGAAACAGACACGAGGCTCACCCGTAGGTGACGATGAATGTCTCGGAATCCGATGCGGGTGACGTCCTTGTTCCAGGGGAGTCGTAGCGCGTTGTGAATCTGTCGTGCCGCCTCGCCTCGCGACCCCTCGTACAGAACCACCAGCACCGACGTCACACCGTACGGAGAAAACGCGACGTTGCAGCGCATATAAGCGTAGTCCTGAAACACGACACGCGCAAACACTGACAGCCATTTGAAGTAACCAGCTCGACGGAGCAGAGTCCGTCCCGAGAAGCTGACAGTCGCTCAGCAACTCAAGAAATGCCCCTCCTTTTATATAATACGGTGGTTCATTCATCTGCCCACAAGAGCCCGCCACCTGTTCCTCTCGTGAGCCAGACGAATTCAGTCCTTCTTCCTTGGGATCTATCTTAATGTTATCGTCCTAGCTAAGCCTCCGTTTACGCTTCGCGACGAGACTTTAATTCCACGGATTCTCTGAAATGCTGTGTTGAACACTGCCCTCTGTTTGGGGTGCATTTGATGATACACACGACGTTTCGGTAGTTGGCTGTACTGCCGTTACACTGACACCATTTTTAAGATTAGCTGGGATCGAACCCGGCACCTGTTGAATACTGGACAATTTCCTACCCTTCAAATAAAAGAATGATTTGTCAACAGACCATGAGAGCCAACTGCCGAAACGTCGTTTTGTATGAAATCGGAAGTTGAGATAAACGAGCAAACAACGAACAGGTCGAGCCCCTTACCTGAAGGACCGCCACACCGAAGTCATTGGTGACGTCCACCATGGCGTCCATAGGCCGTTGGTACACGAGCACTGGCCCAGGGACTCCCCAGAGAGGGGGGCTCCCCCCACTGACGACCAGTGCTGCCGCCAGTATCAGAACGGACGAACACGGCGCTGTAAGAAGGAAACGAATGTACGGGATGACGCCTGCATTCAGTTATATTTCCTTAATATCTTTTATTCAGTGTGTTTCATTGATTTGCAGTTTGTTTAACGACACTTTTCAGTGGCTCAGGCTATATGGCTGAATCGGAAATGATGTGGAAGTGGTCGTGGCCTAATTTAAGGGAGTATCCCTACACTATCCTGGAGGGACTGAGGAAAACCACGAAAAACCTAGGCGGGGTATCCGGTCCCCGGGCCGAGGTTTGAACCCGGGACATCCCGAGCTTTGATCACTGGACCACGACGTCCGATAACGTTTTGTTTGTCCAACAGTCAGAGTAAGTAATATTGCATCACCCATGACGAAACAAAACACTTACGTTGCCATAGTTAACAACGACAGTGGATAAACGTGGGCCCGTCTGTTGTTTCAATTAATTACTTCCATTACAGAGGCTGAGGAAATTACACGAAGCTCCTTCGTTCCGGTAGTTGGGCTCGTACAGTCCAGGAAACATGACAGACACAGGCGAGATTTCGGGTTCTCAAGGCGACGACTGCTAAGACGGAATGATGTAATTTTTTGCATTATGCTTGAAATAAAACCACCCTAATAAAATACCTTATTCAAATTTTAGTCCACTTAAAATTCAAATTATACTTATTATGTTTCAATCTCCTACTACATAACACTTAATTATTTGTTACATATAAACTTTTTGCCCACTTACGCCAACCTCTTCAAATGATACGTGCGTCAGGCTCACTTTACACATTAAAGCATATGAGATTATCACATCTCTTATTGATTCACGCCCGGAACAAACTGTTATTAATACCAACATTTGCAGTTAAAAACTTAAAAAGAAGTTGGCTTGTAGGCTTCATGCGTGTGACTCCTTCCATTTCTGTTTACGTGTTCACTGACACCAACTGTATGTTACGTATTTACCAGTTTCAGGCTTGGTTTTGTATGAAATGCCTGGAATTTTTTTTAAAAAACCCCAGATATTTCCCAGTTACACTTATGGTGTTGTGCAGAATTCTGGGTAATGTCGGCTATAAAAAAATTAGTTTTGTGTCTAGCTTCATGAAGTGTGGTCTCTCTCACTCACCTGTGATCATTGTCAGCTTCGGATGTTCGCGCCACCTTCCACGCCCGCCCATCCGTTACTCGTTCGTTTGTACAAATTGATTTGATTACAGCCTTCACTTTTCTCTCTTATTGCACTGTGATCTTCGTCTGACATGCGATTCTTTGAGCCCGAAGCTAACTAGCGATTGTATGACGAACAATGAGCCGGCCTTGGTCACGAGACGCGTATTTAATTCGTCCGGCGTAACCGATTCTGTTTCCCCGAAGAATGCAGTTGTTTCGCGACTGTCTTGCTCTTGTGGCCTACGTTTCAAAAACCTAGTTGGACAGTAGAAAAAAAAATGTTAATTCGAGTTAAAATTAAAATAAATTATGTCATTACGATATTACACTCGTTCAACATTGTTAATAAAACGAAGATTGTAATGAATTTGAATCGTGAATATTGGCTGTCGTCAACAATGAACATAACCTGCAATTCTGTTGGCTACCCCTAAGCAACAATGTCGTCTTTCGACTATATTTATTATTTAATTTACAGAAGAATAAATCAAACCACTTTATAAAAGGTCTGTACACGAATCCGTCAAAACTGAACACTACTGCCACTAACACGAACTGTGACGCTAGTGAAACTGCCAACTACAGCGCGCGAGGATCTGTCTCTATCATAGAACGTTGCCTCCTGGCGGTGCAGAACGCAACTAACAGGTTCATTGTTTCTAATACCCGTTGCCATAACATCGCGAGGTCATTCGGATAAAAATGTAATAATTTGTCGGGAAATTAGTTGGAATTCACCTTTGTGTTTGCTGCTTCAACAACAACAACAACAAAAGACGATAAGAAAGCAGGTCTCTTACGTCACATCATAATATTCCTTAATGCGCATTTTGGATGGGGAGTCATGTTATTGCTCCTAATAATTCTTAACCTTGGCACTAGATGGGGGTAAGTACTTAGCCTTACGCTTTGCCCCTGGGGAAAGGGCCCCGGGACATTCCCAGACTGAAATTATTTGCAGTCCGTGTTTTCGGCGTCCAAACACCAAAGAAGTCCTGACTTTGCGTCCCGAACAACCCTACTGTACAGTGCTGCACTCTCGGGATCAGATTCCGTAGCTCTGCCGTCAGGCACCAGAAAAAGATCACACTGGGCGTGGTTTGTACGGATTACGTATGCTAATACCTCAAATAAAGGAAATGTTTTTCGCTGTCCGTATTGTTCAGAATAAATTTGGTTGAAATTTGGGTGTTTAGCTTTGAAATATCAACGCAGCTTGTAGAAATTGGCCGACGTTTCAGAGGCGCTTTCATCATTAGGGCGATAAATACCCTTTCATAACGATTCAAAGTTTGATGCGTCCAATTACCCCTCTGTCCCCTAAAGCTGGCCATCAGCGCCACGCGGGAGGTATTGAAACTAGAGAGGCTCTCCTTCATGCGATGGTCGAAAATCACCTCGCGATTCAAAAATATCCCCCCCCCTTCCCCGATTTACGACTCTTAAAAAGTATTCAAAATGTGACGTCAACGAAAGAAACAATCAGGAGACCGCTGAGAATGGGTGGCGTCTGCACTCGCAGTCCGAACCATCGTCGAGTGACCATTTGCCTTGTGGCCGAGCTCCGTGTTCCTTAGCAACAACAGCGCCTTGGGCTTGTTCTGAGACGTACATTGACCTCCGGTAGCGAACGTCTCTCGTGAAAACTCGCCACAGCATCGGAAACCCTGATGACTCCTACATATCCAGTGTCGGAGGGAGGGGGGGATTCCTCCGGTCAACACTCGCCACGTCCACTCGAAACGTCCGCTTGCACACAACTTCAGAGCACTTTGACTTCCTCCAAGACTTACGACGCCACTGGGCATTCTCTGTGTTAGACCCACATTTAAGATTTTGTGTTACGTGGCCGATTTTAATTAAATTCGATCACGTCTCTAGATCAGAGTTAAGCGAACAGCGGGCCCCTAACTTTTGTTAGAAATTCAGAATTTGCACGTTGCAAAATCATTCGTAATTAGAATTTGTAATGCACACACACACAAAAGAGTTTCGTAATCGATATTTATATCGTAATTCTAAGGGGGGGAAAAATAAGATTTCTGATTCAGTTGTGACCTGCGCATTAGGTCCAGCTTGCTAACTCGAATTTCGATTGCTCGGTAATAAATTTGCATTGCCCAAATATAACACGTGAACAGAATTGAACGCAGTGGGCTTGGATAATATGTACGTACGTCCTCGATTCTCGACGGTCAGAGTTTATTTCGAAAACGCTGTGCCTAGTCTTACGCCACTCAACGTCCTGACAACGAGGCAAAGGCGTTTCGGAGGTGCTATAAACCTGTAAGGTCAGTGCCTCGTGTTCCAGGAACGTCGGCGCGTTGTGCTCCTGTGTTGCTTAAGTTTTATGATTGCCTGTACATTTCGTGTTACAATCGATTCCACGTATGTGCTAACCTGGAAAGTAAAATTATACTCGACATCCCGTAGGAAGGGTCTGAAGATTAATGTGTGGTGTGACGCAACTTTCAGAACACTTCAGTTCAATAGTACAGGCCTGTTTTAGTGCTCGTGTGTACAGAGACCCGTTTTATTATATCTTTTTAATTTCTCAAGCTGATTGTTACAATATAACACAATTTAATTTGCATTGTTCCTGTAATTTCCTCCCCGAATCAAGTAACTGCGGTCTAATTGCTGTTATTCTAGTTTGAAGGACTTAAACTCAGGACAGTCCCTCGGCCTTTCTAAAATGTTTTGTTGGTTTTTAAGGCTTAAGAATGACAAAGCCATCTTGGTCTTTATACGTGTAAATGAAATGATTGTGGTGAAGATCTGCAGTTGTAACAGTAGATGGCGATACTAATCTATGCCGTCAAGAAATACTGATCTCAGGTAGTGCGTGTTTACCTCTTCTGCCCTGTCGACAAAGAAGTTCTCCTACATTATCAAGTGTCTGTTCGTAGAATAGAATTTGTCCGTCAGATGGCTCCAGATCGTGTGCCTCTGAGTGTAGTTCGTGACGTCACGGAAGTTAGGCGATGTGACGGGGGAAGGCCATTTGCTCTTCTGCCGGGCGAGGAGCTAGTCGTTTTGGAGCGCAGCCTCTGGGTTGCAAGGATCAATGGAAATTCGTTCGTGGTGAAACAGTGCGTTTATGTGTGTGTGTGCGTGTGCAGACATCAAACATCACATTTACAACCTGTGACGCGGCTCGTGTTGTGGTCAGTTCTTTTGGTTTTAATTGTTGTCAGTTGCAATGGGAGGTAGCAGGGGTTTGGTGCTGCTTGTGTTAGTGTACAGTTGTGGTGTGGTGTTCAGTGGACGGACTTCAAGTGTGAATACTTCTTGCACTGCCGTCAAACCTATTCTCGAGATGAAGAATTTGTCCCTTGACATCCCGGATCAGCCAGTCAACGGTAAGAAAATGCGCTGTTTTTTTACAACACTAAAAGCCCTTCCTAAAATGTAACGACCAGGTGTTTGCTCTTTTTCCAAAAATGGAATATTCATTGCACGTGTTGGTATGAAAATATTGGTGACCTTAAGACTACCCAGGAGAAAGTACTTGCTCGTTGCTCCAACAGATAGTGCCTGCTGTTTTTGCGTGATTTTCTTTCAGGCAATGTAAAATACATTGTTTTTTTTAGCATTCCCGAACTGCATGGATATTTTTGACACTTTAAGGACCAGACTGTGTGCGTTATCACTTTGTTAACGAATACCAAACGGAAAGAAACGCCTTTAACTGGAATATGGAAAGAAAATAACTTTATTTACATATATAATTACCATTACACCTTCGCCTGAGGAGAAAAACTTTTCCAATAGCGAGCAACGCACGTAACAAGTCTTGTATCCCCTTCGTGACACGTAATCTAAGCAGTGGATGAAAAAAGTTACGAAGTTGTGCAAACGCTGCTTGGTAGATTGAAGTTGAATAAATCAGCAGTTTTATTTATTTTTCTAATTGTTGTCTAAAACCGGTTGGCATTAATCAGAAAGGCGATCGCGGAGCGTTCTATTTATTGCACGATTTGCAGTACTAGGTCTGTCCCACTTAGATTACGTAAAAGACGAGAGCTTTTTTTATACTCGGTCCAGCGTTGACGGACGTCAAAGGTTGATATTAGAGTCGCAGATACTGGTGGAGCGATGTACATCGGATTGAACCCTCGGGTTCTGACACCACAGGATCGGTTTCTTGGTTCATAAATCAGTTGGTACTAGTGAAGTTGCCAGTTGAGAACGTCCTAGGATGAAAATTCAGTACCGGACGTTCTAACGTGTGTGTAATGGTGCTGTTCAGACGCTCGGGTGGGACAGAGATCAACGCAGACCCCGTCGTAATGCCAATTGTTATTTTTAATAATAATAATAGTAACAACATTAACAATAACAACAAAACTTGTACGTGGTCGCCACTTGATACCAAATCATGAGCACTAGAAAAATGCCGTAAATATATTTTGTAGTGAAGGATTAAGTGTTGTAAGTCGACAAGAATCAATAGAACGTTGTGTGAATGGGTGAAGTGGTTCTAGAAGTGAGAATGTACACAAATAGACACGATAATGTAACCAAATGAACACGTCAGCATTTGGTTAGACTCGGATAAAATAGTCCGGAGATTTTATATCTTTAAAAAGAAATTACGAGAGGAAAAGAATTATTGTAGGCGGTAGCATTGTTTGTACGTGAGTACTGAGTAGCTCGGAAACAAAATGAAAAACGTAAATTGAAGAATACGTACTGTGTTTGATCAGCAGATATTTTGTTTTGAGATAATTTTTGTTCTGTTCTACGTTCTGCCCTGGAAGCAGGATTTCTGTTACAAGATCACGGAGAAAAGCGAAGAAGAAAGCTTCGTTTGGATCCGGTTCGTGGCCAGTGGCGAGCTCATGTGAACGAGGTATTGGACTTACGGGTTTTATGACGAGCAGGGGGACCGTCAGACCCTGAAGTAGACCGACCTCTGGTTACTCGATCGGCGTTTCGCCGTGAGTTCACGAGCACTGTGGATACTTTGCACGACGACAGCGTGTTTTGTGCGACTGCCGGTCGGGTTGGCACTACTGCTTCGCACGCATTATGCCTCGGGAAACATTCTCCTAACAGCCTGTTCATAGACTCGCTCAGTGTGTTCTCCCCTTTAAGGCGAGAGACCAAGTTTCACACCCGTACAAGACAATGGGAGACTGGCCTAAAATTACACGGCTGAATGAAGTGGCACCAGTGTTACTGGCAATGTGTTGTTCAGATGTTTTTTTTTAAAATTTCGCGCCGTTAGGTTGGTCATGTTGGTACCAAACTCTACCGATACGTGGCGTGTTGAGAGACCGCGGTTTCTAAGCTTTGTGTGCAAAAAAAAGTGTTTTCTCGCGTTTATTTTGCGAACTTACAGTCACAGTTTATCAGCATTCGTAGCCTAAGATTTTGTGACCGGTTCAATGATATCTGGCGAAGTCTTCGGAAGTGAGTGAGTAAGACTTAATTAATGTTTTTTGAATTAGTTTGCGAAACAAGTGTAGCGAAGTTTGGGCCAAATGGCGTACACCCATTAGCACTCTTTCACCCAATTTCGTTACTTGGTAATTCTCGTTTCATATTTTATTATGAATAAGTTAAATTCTACTGCATTTTGAACTTGGTTGTTTGAATGTTTTGCTTTGTTATTAACTAGAAGGCTTTGTTATATTGCTCTGTGTTCTGTTTAGATACGCTGTGATTAATACGTTGTTAATCTTTGATAAAATTACATGTTCTGTAATTTTTGTTGGTAAACATGATAGTAGTAGTTTATGATAACAGTCTGAGCATGTAATTTTTCCCAGGGCCTTGGCAATAATAACACTGCTGACATATCTTTAAATGCTCTTAGGAGCACTAGCTGCATCAATAATTTTTCTTCAGACTTCAGACATTTTATAAAGAGAGATCAGTGCTAATGTGTTACACTTATTTATATTTTTAGTACGTCATTTTAGGTCAGTCTGTACTTTTTTGTATCTGCCATGTACAAGGGAAGACAAAAGATTCCGAGCTGCATTGTTGCCAACTTTCCTGCTAATTTAGTCGGCTCTAGACTTCTTCATGAATGTTACGTAACTCAAACAATGGCAGATTTGAACGATAAGTTTTGACAATAAACAGCCGAACGAAGACGTGAATTTAATTGTTACGGAGGGCAATAAATTCACTTGGTGACAGGAGTTTTAAATGCGGACGGTTTCAGAGCGCGGAGTCTTCGAGAAGCTGATAGTAGTGCATCTAGCTAAGCAGGTCGCCGTATTTAAACGGATCTTTGTCAGAGGTGTGGATCGTGAAATGATGATTGTGTGAGACTTGGAACTAGAAAGGGACATCTCTCTCTCTCTCTCTCTCTGAGCGCGGCTTAGCAGAAAATTAAAATTGTTAGCTCTGGGGAGATCGCGTGAAGAGTTGGCTTGACTAACGCAAGATAGCATCGAACATTTATAGATAATCAGCGGGAATCTCAAGGCTTGTTCCCAAACGTTCGGTCACTGGTTGGCAGGTGATAGATAAGTTCACGTTGTACTACTCATTCCAAAACTTGGCGTCCCCGGCGCGTAAAACAAAGCGGTCTCTAAGGGATGTTTGTAACAAAATACAGCGATGTAACTGCGTGTTGATGTCTGGATTCGCACTGGTTACGGAGAAAAGACCAGCATCGTTGCCTTGTCTGTCCGTCCGTCCGTCCGTCGAGTCGATTCAATTCGAGAGCCTGTGGACTGATTTGGACGAAATTTGATGTGGAGGTTGTGGCCATCCGCACGACTTCAAAAACGTATTTTAGATATCGTACGCGTGGCGTTAACAAAATGGCGGATGAGGAAAGTCGTGAGTGGACACTCAAGTGCTGCGATCTGGTGGCCAAAGTGAGACTGTGGGGACAAGGCAGATTTAATGATTCTATATGCACGTTGCAAAGAACGGATTAGCGTATTATGTGTATTCTGGTTCGGATTATACTCTCCGAGCTTGTTTAGAACCGGCTTGTTTCCATCGTTTTTATAGTTGGTCCCTCTGATAACTTTTGAAAAGACGAAATGTCGATGACGTCACATGACTGGAGAGCAGGGTTTGTTCACACGGCGTCATTAATAGTAATGGGACCATCGTTTGAAACTTTTTAGTGTAGGGGCCTCTCATTCGTGATGATATTCCAAAAGCAGAAAATTCTGTCCATTTTGTTAGAATACCAGATAATATGGCGACCACGCGAAATGTAAGTTGTAATCATAGCATTTGACGCTACGAAACTTAGTCTTTGACAAATCGTCATTAAATACATAAGAAATAATCAGCACTGGAGCCATTGAGCATGAAATCAACAAGTTTCATTGTGGAAAATGGCGAAATATGACGATGTGATTGATGAAGCAGCTGGTAGCACTGTCTCGACGGGTGGTTTTCCAACTCTTGAGGTCGTCCGCGCTCTTCACGGATTTCGAAAAAAAATCTGTGCACGCTGGGCCCTTGAAAGTTCTGAGAATACCCACAAATGCTAAGGGATCATTCTGAAGCCGCATTACCGTTTCTGATCAGGACTGTGCCGGGAAACGCACCGGAAAAAAAGGAAAAGAGATTCCGTGTACCCAAAAGCTATCTGCAAGGAGGATCATGGCAAATGCCCCCTGGGATGGTGGGGGGCATTATTTTGATTGCCCTCATGGATCATGGGTCCACCACAGCGAATGCCGAATTGTACTGAGACACTCAAGTCAGCTACGAGACAGGCGTTAGAGCATCCACACCCTGAAGCCCACAGCTGGCGCATCTGACGTCCATCTGTTTGAACCTCGAAGGCATCACCTGTTTGGAGAGAACTCGAACACGGTCTGAAGGCGACTGTGTTGAAATGTAGTGCAGATTTGTGTCATTGCGGTTGGATTAAAAGTCTCGCAGAAAACCGCGTTACCTCACTTCCCGGACGCAGTTTATATTTCGTCGTGAGCTCAGCGTTTGGTGCACATGCACTACAGCGCCGTCACGTGCCTGAGGTCACGCTCTGCTGTGGAATGTATTTCGGGACGGGACACGGCGTCTCTTATGCCAGAGCCCATCTGATCGGTTTCGCAGTTGAATTACTCGATGCTCTGTGCTTCACGGATTATTTTATAGGTTCTTTAAGGGCACTGAATGAATTTCGTGGGCTGTGTAGGATAGCAACGAGGAAGCTGCCATTGTGCCTAAAACGAGGCATGGTGGCAAAGCTCCACCCTTTCGAGACGATGTTTTTAGGTGCAGATGAGGGGTTTCTTGTCTCTTCAGCCGCTGGCATCTTCTACTCACTCTTAACCTCGGCACTAGATGGTGGTGAGTGGTCGGCATCACGCCCCGGCCGGCTTTACCCCCGGGAAAGGACCCCGGTACTCATTGTAGAGGAGGCTGGGTG